TTATTTGACAATAAGACTCCTATCAACAATTTCGTGCAGATGCTAATATTTTCACAAAATATCCAAATCGAGGCTCTATCAAAAGTACTCGTGGTTCTCATACCTAAAGCGCTAAAACCCTTTGAAAATTGTATTTACTATGAAATTTGTGATTCTTTTTGTGGCAATTGAACTACGAAAGTTTAAATGCATCATTTTATAATTTCGTGTATTGCATAGTTCATAACATATATATATATATGTAGTTAAAAAATAATACTGAATATTTTCTTTAGCATATCAATTTCTAAAATTAACGAAAAAGCAACAAAGGAAAAATGAAACAAAAACACAGGTATGTAATATCCCTGCTAAAATTTTATAAATATATAAAAAATATATTCTTTACTTCAAGGCTGTACGTTGGGTTTCATTTACAAATTTCGAGTCCCACAGCAGGGTCAGTATTTCGAATAATTTTTCATTATTTTCATAATTTCATGAAATACATCCAAGTATGTGTAAATGTATTTTAGCAAATTATACAGATAAGCAACCAGTACGAAACCATTTGAGAAACTTGAAAGGATAAGACGATCTAGAATACTGCAGTTTACACAACTAACAGACAAATATTTTCGAATTTGGTTCTTTCAAAGGGTCAAGTAACAGATGCATTCAGAGTTATTCAGGAACCAAATAGAACTTAGCTGGAAACAATGCCTTAAAATTAGTATTTTTTAAATAACATATAAACGTATTAGAAAGCTAGCTTATAAAACTCGAAGTTCTTGATAATTTTTAATCATATTCTGATGTGTAATCTTTTATTGAGTATAGGTTAGTTACCTTTAACATTTTGTGTCCTACGTTTTGTTGCATCTAGGTTCTATACTTTAACCATCTTGTGCCCTACCTTTTGTTATGTCTAGGTTCTATACTTTAACCATCTTGTGCCCTACATTTTGTTGTGTTTATGTTCTATACTTTAACCATCTTGTGTCCTATCTTTTGTTATGTCTAGGTTCTATACTTTAACCATCTTGTGTCCTACCTTTTGTTGTGTTTAGGTTCTATACTTTAACCATCTTGTGTCCTACTTTTTGTTGTGTCTAGGTTCTATACTTTAACCATTTTGTGTCCTACTTTTGTTGCATCTAGGTTCTATACTTTAACCATCTTGTGCCCTACCTTTTGTTATGTCTAGGTTTCTATACTTTAACCATCTTGTGTTCTACCTTTTGTTGCGTCTAGGTTCTATACTTTAACCATCTTGTGTCCTACTTTTTGTTGTGTCTAGGTTCTATACTTTAACCATCTTGTTGCCTACTTCTTGTTGTGTCTAGGTTCTTACTTTAACCATCTTGTGTCCTACCTTTTTTGTGTCTAGGTTCTATACTTTAACCATCTTGTGTCCTACCTTTTGTTATGTCTAGGTTCTATACTTTAACCATCTTGTTTTCTACCTTTTGTTGCGTCTAGGTTCTATACTTTAACCACCTTGTGTCCTACTTTTTGTTGTGTCTAGGTTCTATAGTTTAACCATCTTGTGCACTACTTTTTCTTGCGTGTTGGTTATTTACCTTTACCGTTTTGTGTCCTACCTTTTGTTGCGTCTAGGTTTTGCACACTAATCATTTTTCCTATCTTTTGTTGTGTCTAGGTTCTATACTTTAACTATCTTGTGTCCTACCTTTTGTGGAGTGTACGTTATTTTCTTAAACATTATTTGTCCGTGTTGAGGTGTTTAAGATTGTCAAAGAAATTGCTAATGTTGATGGATTATAATTTTTTTTCGTACTTGACGGTGAGAATGGTAAGACTACAGGACATAAGTGTAAATTTTGGTAGGAATCATTTTCAGCTAAGACAGCTTTATTTTTGTAACAGTTGAGCGCTCTAACCACCTGGCCATGCCGGGCCATCTTCCTGTAACATACTGTTCTATATCATCTGCTTGTGTATTTTCTATTGTTGCATATTGTCGTTCGTTTCGTCATCTAGAGTATGATGTACTTTTACATATAGATTCTTCAATCTTATTACTTTAATATTATTGTCTAATGATACGTATATGTCACTAGTTTCTACCACATGCTGACACATAGTATGGGATTACATGTACTGTTTCATACTTATCTTTTAATATTGACATACGGTCTTATTTGGTATATAGCTGTTTGGTTCCTACAAGCTACTGACACGTTAACTACAGTTGCATATACATATTTTTCTTAATATTTATGAACGTATTGTTTACTGTAATATGCAGACAATTCATTGTAACTACCTGGATCTGCTGTCACTGGTAGGTGCTCTAATTTTATCCATTAATTTATAGACTACCCTCACCTTTAAAATGAGCTTTTATAAAATAACTTTTTTTTTGGAATGACTGCCAACCATTTCCAAAAACTTAAGAAAAGTAAGAACACCTGTTCAGAATAGAGTATTTAAATATCTAAACCAAACTGTTCTAATAAAAATAAGTTTATTTTAGTAAAACAGTTTTTAAATTAGTTTTTAAGTATACTCAATTTATATAATAAAGTATTTTTTAAAGTGCTACTCAGTGGCTCAATCGCTTAACAACAAACAAACACAAAATTTTCCTACGGTTCCTTGGAAGAGTATTCACTTTCCTAAAAAGATTCCATATTTGTTGCAGTCTGAGCTTACAATTATGATACTTTCAAAGTACACGTTACATTTCGAAGCTACACAATCTACTCCAAACGAAAGCTAAAAAATGTTGATATTATGAAAGTAAGTTATAATTTCAAAGAAAATTAGAATATTCTCAATTGAATAATATTCACCTCCTTTGCTACGTCAACCATAAATCAGTTCAGATGCGAAAGATTAGTTTGAAAGGTCACAAAATTAGTGTAATAGTCTCTGTCTGTGGGACAAAGTGGTAGAGAAGCACAGATCAGAAGAAGGTTACAAGAAGACGCTGATTATATCCTTGAGTATTGTGAAGTCCATCATTAAGAAGGGCAATGTGCTTCATACCACCCAGTCACTAGCCAGATCAGGCAGCCTTTCCAAACTAAACAGCCGGACAAGCAGGAAACTGGTTAGGGATGCCACTGTAAAACCAACAGTGATTTTGAATGATTTGCAAAGTTTCGTGTCTGAGATGGGAGTCAGTGTTGATACATCGACAATATCCCATTCCCTATACAAAGTTGGCCTGTATGGGCAAGTGACAAGAAAGAAGCCATTACGGAAAAGAATTGTCTTAAGTCTCGTAAGGTGTTTGAAACAAAGCATGTAAATGATGCTACAGACAAGTAGCAGAAAACTGTATAGTCAGGCGAGATAACAATTGAGCTTTTTTGATCTAAATTCAAAGTATTAAGTCTGGTGCAAGCCCAACACACCTGATCACCCAATCAACACTATTCCGACTGTCAAGCATGGTGGTGGCAGCATCATGTTATGGGGATGCTTCTCATCAGCAGGGACTTGGAACATTGTCAGGATTGAAGGGAAGATGGATGGTGCAGAGTACAGAAGAATCCTAGAGGAAAACCTCCTTGAGTCAGCCAAGAATCTAAAGCTGGTATGAAAATTCACATTTCAGCAGGACAGTGACCCGAAGCAGAAGGCTAAAGCCACATTAGAGTGCTTTCAAAAGAATAAAGTGAGTATCCTTAAGTAGCCTAGTCAAAGTCCTGACTTGAATCCAGTATAAAATTTATGGCGAGACTTGAAGATTACAGTCTATCAACTATCCCCAACGAACTTGTCAGATTTGGAGCAATTTTGCAAGGAAGAATGGGCAAAAATTGCACCATCCCATTGTGCAAAGCTGGTAGACACCTATCGAAAAAGACTCACGGCTGTAATTGCTATCAAAGGTGCTTCCACCAATATTGACTTACAGGGCTGAATACTTTGTGCTATCAGCAAATTTCAGTTAATATACTTTATTTGCATGTTTTACTGACATTCAACTTCCTTCACACATAACAGTGTTAAGTTTGATCATCAGAGTGTTGAATAAAAACAAGTTCATTAAAAATACTGTTTGTATTTCATCAAAATATGACATTATTGGTAGGGGTGAATAGTTTTGCAAGGCACTGCAAGTGTCTACCAGTGTTTGGTTTTAATTTTTTTTTACAGAAATGTCTGTTTTTCTTGTTTAAAATCATTAGTTTAAATAACTCATCTTCTTTTTTGGAGAAGTAATAATATTTTAAATGTACTTTTTTTCTTCACTAGAATAGTGTCATTGCTATCAACAGCAGTTTTTATGTGTCTGAATATTTTAAATACCAATTTCAATTTAATTTTCTAGATGAATGCTAAAATTTTAAATAATAATTTTTCTGTTTCAGATTGTTGTCAAAGTTTTAAATAATGGCGTTTGATTTTTAGATAAATGTTTTAAATAACTGTAATTATTTTCTGTTTGTTTAGATTCATGCAAGTGTTTGAAAAACTAATACTTTTATGTAACAGTTGCCCTATTTGATATTTTGTAACTATTACCAAACCAATTTTAGTACAGAATGTAAGAAATACGTCTAATAGACATGTAGCTGAGTTGAATGAACTATATGCAATGAACATTGGTTATTAATTTAGAATATTAGAATCGTTTATAACAGTATGCCCATATAATTTAAATCTTATATATCGATCATTAGAGCTTTGATTCAATTAACATCCCCCATAATGCATGTAGGAATATAATCATTGGTTATTATTACGTTTTGAAACAGAGCCTTGTATCTTTTAATGTATTGCGAATAGTATTACTTGAAATCCAAGCCTTTATTACATAATATAAAATATCAGAAAATAAGAAAGTAAAACATAACTGTTCGTAACTTTTGCTTTTATGTTACCAACATGATATCGTATTACTACATTTTAACTTTTGTTCTATTGTTTACTGTTATTAATGATATATGTAAATAAAAACAAAACGTGTTGCACCCACTTTCCATAAAAAATGGGTTCGATGATAAATTATTTATAATTAATCTCCTGTGTTTTGGCCATAGATTTATCCAAGGACGAGCTAATCCAGACAGAAAGAAAACGGTTGATGTCACTGTCTAAGAATGGTGATTATTGGTTGTTTGTGCAGTCCACATCTCCATCTTTTGGCCAAAGTAGAGAAAAAAACATCACTACCCAACTGGGCCAGACCGTCTATTTACACTGTATTGTCAATAACATCGGAGACAAAGCGGTAAACTCTACGACGATGATTTTACAAAATGAAGATTATTGTTAATGTTAAAAACTTTCACATTTAGTTCTATGTAATAAGATTATATCAGCTAGTTTGTAATACAAACAAGTTTTTCATAACTCTTAGATGTAACCAATCATCATTAAATACCGTGTTATATAGACCATAAAGTTAATAACAACTTTGATAAACGAATTCTGAAAATGTTATTTAATTTAGTAGATTTTTCTCAACTTACGTTGATGCTTTTAAACTCTTGTTATCTGGTATATCTCGAATGAACTCGGTCATTAAACACTTTGTTCCTAACCGATTCGTTCTTTTCTAACGCATATCTTACGAAATGTTAGGAATAATTACAGAAAATGTAACAAAACAACAACTTGTGACAGATATTACTGGACAAGCTAGAATACTGAGTTACCGAGATTTGCTTTCTATTCTTACTGGTGTTTCGCACCCTGCAAAATTATAAACAGGTGTATAATGTATAAACTAAAAATTGAGCAACTAATTGACAAAACCAACAGCTAAAGAGAATTATTCATTAAACACGTACGAATACGTAAACAATTTTAATATACACGTAATTAGCATAAGGCCATTTAAGGCATTTTACTTCACTATATCTTCGATATTAGAAGGAAACGTGTTGCAGGTATTATCATAGATTACATATGAAAGGAACGTAGTTATAATATTACAGTGTTAATAGTCTGAATAATTTTGTTTATATATACACTGAGTGGTCATAAGTAAATATACACTTAATTTTTTGTTATTTAACTGATTTATGCTAACTAATTTGTGTTCTACAGAGCACTATACAAATGAAAATGGT